TAGATAGATAGATAGATAGATAGATAGATAGATAGATAGATAGATAGCACATTTTTACATACTGTCATGTATTTTATTATTCATTTTATGATACAGTATATTGTATATTTAAAAAATCCAATACTCATTCATTAATTAGAGTGAAAATGTAAAGAACAATTGCAAATGATATACATGTATTAACAATGTATGCAAACTGAGTGGTAACAGAGTGTAGATTACCTGTAAAACCGGGAGCACAGTTACATTTGTAATGATCCACCTCGTCCAGACAGGTGCCGTTGTTCTGACAGGGCCTTGAGGCACACTCGTTGATATCCAAGTCGCAATGGTAGCCCTGGAATCCGGGAACGCAGAAACACTGGTACCCGCTGAGCCCGTCTTTACAGATGGCTCCGTTCCGGCAGGGGTCGGAGCGGCACTCGTCGATATTCTCCTCGCAGTTCAGCCCCTGGTACCCGGCCGCGCAACGGCAAAGGTGCCCCACGTCCGGAACGTCAGCGCAGGTCCCACCGTTCTGGCATGTTTCCTCCGAACATGTGGTCACATTAACCTGGCAGTCGTCCCCTCCCAGTCCAATGGGACAGTGGCATGAATACCCATTGACTCTATTGACACATTGAGACTTGACCCCTTCGCAGGGGTTGCTCTGACATTCGTCTACGTCCTCGTCACATCTAAGTCCCGTGAAGCCGTCCGGACACTGGCAGGTGAAGTTGGTGGTTCCGAGTGTGCCGGTGCAGTTAGAGCACGATTCCCTCGAACACGGGTCGAAGAGATCGTCGCAGTGCTTGCCCGTGTACCGGACGGGTTCTTTGGGGCACAGGCACACGTAGTCGTGCTGGTGGTCGAGGCACGTGGCGCCGTTGCTGCAGGGAGAAGACAAACACTTGTCCGCCGCGGCTGTACACAGGAGGCCTGAATAAAAAGGAAACAAAAAGGAATATCGTGATGAAAACTTATTGGAAACGTCAATGCAATATCGAGTAAGTCTATACAAATGCTGGTACTGAGATACTAAAAACAAAGAATTATCATTTCAAAGATGTGCCTTAAAGGCTGTGAAAGTTGATATATATATGTATATAGAGGGGGAGAGATACCTAAATACCATTGAATGATCAAGGGATCTTAAAAAAAACTGTTAATGAATAGTGAGAACATGAACTATCCACCCAATTTCAGAACTTCAGTACTGAGAAAATATCACTCCTTTGCTGTTATCTTTTGGCTGAGTTCTTGTTTGATTAAAATTTAATAGCAGCTAATGAGATAAGACCCTTGAACACACATGGTTGGATAGATATTGAATGTCATCAACTCAAAACGTAAGATTGTTCGATTTTTAAGCCATGCGGCTTAGCAAACATGAGTCAATCATGTTTAAGTGTGTGTGTGATTATGTATTTTAACAGGTTCTGTCGAGCTCAACACTGATGATGCTCCTCCCCTCCCATGAGCAAGTGAGAGTTTACAACCTGCTGTCTGTCCCCAATCAGGTCAATAGGCCGCTGGAAACACGGAACCAGAGCAAGTCTTGAAGTCTTGAATTGGATTGCAGAACAGGTATGCAGGATTCCAAAACCCTCTTGAAGCTCATCTCAAGTCAGACAAAAAGTTCTAAAGGACAACCGTCCTCGTTTCAGAGCTAAATAAAATCACGCGTCCACCCTAACTGACCACAGGCAAGTTGTCCTTTTCAGTGCACATACCAAAAGTCCTTTAAATTACCCAAGTATGAAAGAAAATAGTAAAAAAAGAAAAGATCCACCGTAGTCTGTTTATTGATGTTGATAATGCCGTCATTTTTTTGCTTTTGTGAGTTCCTATTGACCTACTAAAAAGTACTATGACATGTTTTTTCTTTGATATCTCTTTGGAATTCATTTAGTCTGTGCTTTTATGTAAGAAGCCCCCAAAAATACAAGGCTGTGCCTTTTGACCATTTGGCAAGAGGAGACACTGACGACTCATCAACAGCACAAAAGCAACACAAGGGACTGTACTTGTTCCAATTCGATTCACTCTGTAGACCTCAGACTTCCAGTATAACACAATTATGTCATCTTCAGAAAATCCTAATAATAACTGGCTGTTATTTTCAAGTTTTTCAGAGTTGGCCAAGATGCTGAGAGCAGGGACCTGTGTCACTTTGGGCTATGGTTTGGGAACAGTTACTTTATGTTGAGTAGAAGTCCAAGATAAGAAAGTACTGTGGATTTTAGAATGGCCATGTATAAGAAAAACTATAAGTTTCCCTCCAAGGCAGGATGGTTGAAAACTAAAGATAACTGGGAAGCTAACAGGTTGCTAGACTGGACTGGCAATGCAAGCAGCATGGCTAAGTTCAAGAAATTACAACAGAAATTGCCATTTTCCCTCATCAAAATATTCAGATTTTCAGAATCTGATATGTTTTTTCAGTGGAAAGCTCATTTCTGACAGATTTGTTACTTTCTACGAGTCTCTAGATGAGGGTGAAATCTGGTTGACAGCTATCTGAGGCAGTAACAGTTAGAAACTGTCTTTTTTTTTAAATGGAAGACCAGATAAAGAAGGCTTTCTCTGTCCTGCTCTGTTGCCCTAAACATAGAAATAGAGACGCTTAGTTAATTATGAGGAATAACACCTCCCATCCTCTTCACTGCACCTAACACAGAGTTAAACATTGTAAAACATTGTTAAAACACTATATGTAATCCGTGTGCGGCTTGTGTGGCTCCACTATAACATGAAGGGATACAGGAGGCCATTCTGTACTGTTGTCACAGCACAATAGAGAATAACCGAATAAAACCCATCTCAATCAAATAACATCCCATTGACAATCCCAGTAACAATGTCTTTGTATGCACCTTATAACACCCTTCCTCTTTCCCCTCAGACACAGTTGCAACACCTCCAGTTCCTCCGCTAACACTTCCAGTTCATCTCACACCAAACTTTCCTTTTGCTTCTCCTCCCATCGCTTCCTTGATCATTATTTTTCTATATTACTGTGAAAGATGTGCACAATTGTTTAAAATCATTCCCTAATTTATACATATGTCTTTTATATTTAACCTCTTGACACCCGAGCTTTTATTTGTTGTGCATTGTTGCTTTTTTCAAGATATATAGGAGCTAATAAGTTTAATATCTATACTTTGTCATGCTACAGGTAGTTTTTCTTCATATAGGCTCAGTGGTTTTATCTTTATGTTTAAAATGTTTCTTTATATATTTAATTAAATCTTTCTTTAATTTGGTTCCGACGACCCAAATTACTTATTTACAAAACTTTAATTACACAATAACAACATTATTGGTGTTAAATGTCTGAACAAATAATTTTACTTTAGATTTCAAACAATAGTGTCCAATAGTGTCTGCTATGAAGCCAAGAGGTCAAAGTCGAAAAGAAAAGAAAAAATAAGGATCCTGGTACAGAGAGGCAGAAATGATATGTCCTCATATGAGAACGAATGCTCTCAGGAAGTTAAACCATGATTGGTGTTAATATCCATGATGACTAAAAATATCTTTATGCAACTTAGGCATTCATAAATGTAAGCTTTTATAATATGTAGCATTGCCAATAGCTTTCAAAGACATATACAAATTGTATTAGTGATGTTATCGAATTTTGAAGCTTTTATTGTTTCGTACACTTCTTTTCTTTCTTTCTCAGTCTTTATCTTATTTTGAACTGTGAAGTGCTTTCCAGACATCCACCTTGCCTCATATTTCCTCTAGGACATTTATCCTTCCTCCTAGATCACTTTTACTGTATTTGTATTTGTAATTGTTCTCTATTCCCCTTGTGAGGAACCCTGTGAAGTCAACTTCAGTTAAAACCACAAACATTTTCCTTCTTTCAAACTCTAATCTCATGAATCCTGTTTAAGTGGCCTTACAGGCAACAAGGGTTTCCTCACTCCTCAGCATTTCACCCGAGCTCAATCGACACCTCACACATTCCAGCGAGCTGATAACGGCCCCCTCCCACACACGCCCACCCACCCCGTCACAGGGCACTTCATAGATCACGGTTATGGCCAGACGTGGCTGATCCCTGGCACTGGCTGGTACCGGGACTAACACTGAGCAGAGCCGCCGGCCGTTAGCAGGTAGAAGGAACCCAGAATCAAACCGATGACAGTCTCCAGAGATGTCAGCTGTCAGCTGTATCTCTGAGAGGAGGCTTTGGAATATCTCACCTCTTAATGTGGAAAGGCTTCACATCTAATGCTTTTTGGTCTATCTCGCATGTTAAAAAATGTATTTTTAGCTAGCGAATTCATGTAAAAATTCCAATTCTACTAAAGTAATAGGCTAAATTTATCACTGAAAGAATTTTAACAAATATAGTCAGTTTAGAAAGGAAATTTAATTCAAATATCAACAGCATTTACAGTATAAGGGTCAACACAAAAAGTTTTATTTCTATAGTCAATATTTCAGAAATAACACCCACTATAGAATAAGACACTTATGATGTCTCTTCATTTTTGGAGATGTAATATGGATGGATTAAATGATTTTTTGGAAAATGTTTGCATAAAGAGAACACACCTCTTCATTAAGCTTACTCTATTATTTTATTTTTATTTTTCATGGTTTAGGTCTTTGAGAGATTGAATCCTATAGAATATAACATTACATTGTGAGGTCTGGTCTACTTAGGATCAGTATTGGTCTAAAGTTCTATGTTGTATGACCTGTGACACCATGATTTAATCCCCATAAATTAAGCCTTTCATCTAGAAATAGCTAAATCACCAGTCTTGTCTTGCAAAAGATGTTTCAAACTTTTTCATTTCATTTTCAGAAATCATGTTAAAGAGAAAAGTTATTGGTAAGAAAGTCTTGCTTTATTACACATATAAATTTGTAATATATTAGTTTAATACCGAAAAAATGATTATTAATCCCATTGTCTTTTGACAGTGGTTGGAAACAAAAAGGGAATTAGTTTTAATTTTGAAAAAAAAAAAATCCATATAGATGTTTCCAAACATATCACCAGCCAAATGGGTTCATGGGTTTGAATGCTTTTATAAAATTGATCATCTATGTTCTAGAAGTACAATTGTGGTCCAACAATCAAAAATCCTTCTGGGACTTTCCACTAGTTAATGATCTTCCATCATTACTGTATAAACACATACAATCAGATTGTTTAAAACATTTGCAAAACAGCCAAACCTGGGTTAATCACAGGAGCTAATAAGAAAGCATATCCTCTACAAAAAATAGTAATTTGATGAGATTAGAGCTATTGGCCACAGACTATATCTGGAAAACAAACACCGTGGTCAGGAATAATATATTAAATCGGCCTGTAAATGGTTAGTTGATATGAACATTCAGATTAAAATATGTAAACTCTACCTAAGAATGAGAACTTTTCCACAAACTGCCATTTTTCTTCACATGGAGATAAAATATCCAATGTTAGTGCTATTTAAGAAGAAAGGAATATGGAGATACTGTACAGTAGGATCCATGTTACAAGACAATAACACTTTCAGTAAATTTAAAATATGTAAAATGTTTAACATTACAGTGTAAAAGGCAGGGGGGGGTGTGACAACACAAAGTCAACATAGCGGCACACTACAGGCCAGAGGAGACACAAAGCAGAGGAAGCCCCTCGCTCAATCACAAGTTGAGCTTGAGGAATTTGACTGAATCACCATAAGTGACGGGCAGCCCCACCGGCGTTCAGCTTTGTGCTCCGGGGGGAGGGGGGGGGGGGCTCCACAGCAGGTGGCTGCTCTGCTGTTTTTTTTTTTAAACAGAATGAATTCTCCATGACTCAGTCACCAGACAGAGTCTGAGAAGCATGCCTTTCGTATGTTGTTTGAAATTAGATTCAGTCTGGTTTGCTTTAATATAACTAAGATTTTTTTTTTTTTTCATAAAGTATACCTACATTGAGCTCATGCTGTGGAGAATATTAACCATAATAGGTTCTACTACTTTGTGTGCAGGGTTTTTCCACTATATACTTGTGGATCTTTCTCATTTTAACCCTTTAAAGCCTGATCCAAGAATAAAACAAAACAGAAAATATCTTTTTTTTTGGTTTGAAGTCTTTATTTTAGCTTTTAACAAAATACGTAAAAAGATAAATACATTTTTAATATCAATAATTTATTACTATGCTATAAGTTAAGATTATTTTTTGTATAGTCTTCTGCCCCCTGTCATCAGGTATATCTGATTGTGTACAATAGGATTTTGAGCAAAGTTTTTACCATTAAATTATGCAAAAGATGTCACACGCAAAACACTTCAGAAACCGTATGTATCAAATATGATACATTTGGCATTACAGGGTTAAAATAATACTTTATTTTTCAGGCATTAACTGTGTTTACCTTCTCATTGCAGCATTTCAGTATCATTTTATCAGTTTTCATGTCTAATCGAGCCAAAGTCTGCTAGAATTAGGGACAGATTCACACTCACAAGCATACACTGTCCTTACAAATGCATTTTACTCCTTTGTATGCATCATCTGGAGATGACAGCACTCACAGTTAGAGGCCAATGGGAAGCCCAATTGACCTAGTTATTGTTTTTTTCCTGCATTGTAAAGATTTCTTTTTGTTTAAACTGGGCAGTTTTGCCCAAGTTGTTTTGAAATATTTAAACTACTTTCTGTGTCAGACTTTTTGTCCAATATAAATCTGTCTTTAACTACAGAGCCAGTCACCCTTTTCCCCTAACGGCCCTTTTTTTTTTTTTTTTTCTTTTAAAACTGCCAAGGCTCTTTCCATGCTCCTTAATACCCATCGACCTCCCCATTCAGCCCAGACAAAAAAACTGTGCAGTCGGACGCTCGGCTTGTTACTATGGTGATCCTTCACAATGGCATCCGCAGCCAATCCCTGCGGCTTCTGGGCCACCTCTTAAACGAGCTGCAGACACCTCGCACAAATGAAGTTTTTTGCGCTAAAATGGGTCAGCGTGGTTTTCATGGAGTCGATGGGGTTGACTGACCAGCCCTGGACATTCACACCCAGACCCACCCGGGGACAGAGGATGCACATAGTGTGGATTAAAAACTCACTGGGGAACCATAAACAATAACTAAATGGTGTTGATGTTCTTTTTTTTTGCTAAATGCACTAATAATATCTTTCTTTTTGTTTTTACTTATTTAAAAAAAAAGAGCTATCCAAATATAACTTATCTAAGTCAGGCACGAGGAAAAATAAATTGGTAGGGATGTTGCTGTGAATAACTTACCGAGTTTGAACATCATCATGGTGATAAGCAATGTCCTCTGATATCTAGACCAGACTCTTCCAAACTCCATGTTTGAAAGTCCAATGATGTCTCCAGTCAGTGTACAGTGATGCTGTTAGTCCACAGTGTCTCCATCCAACAAGCTGTCTTAGCCACTCCACTGCAAGTTAGCCATTGAGAGCGTAAGAAAGCACCTCCTTGGACCACTGAGATTGTGGGTATGAGTCTGTGCGAGAGTGTGTTCCAGAGTTTGAGAGGGGCAGCTTGTGCATGGGGGTGTGTATGTATTTGTACATCTGCACGGGTGTGTGTGGGGCTCTGAGGAGACAAAGTTGGGAAGGAGTAATCACCCCAGCAGAGAGTGGAGGATAGAAAATGTGGAATGGAATGGAGGAGTGGGTTTATTCCTCAAGGGACCGACTCACACAAAATCAGTGGTGTATCTAAACAGATTCAAAGTAGTACTCTGAGGTAAAATCTTTCACTTGGGATTTTCAGAGCAAGAGACTGGCATTTCTTGAATAAAAAAGCACTGGAAAATGTAGCCAATTATTTTATTTTTTGCCCAGTTCAACCAGCTGAATTTTTGACATAAGATTAAAAAAGAAAAAGAAATTTGAATTAATACAAAATGGATATTTTGGAATTTTGCTTATTCATTTTATTTCAAATAGAAATGTAATTAAATATTCAATCTTTTTTAACATTTAATTGGGTAAAAGGCTATATAATCTAGACAAGCACTTCAACAAAAGACGCAAATTTCTGTTCTAGCTTATTAGTTATGTGCTGTTTTCTTTTGTTCAACGATAGCCTGTTAGCTAGTTTTGACTGCATGGGCTTTATAGGGCAAAAACAATCGGATTTCAATAAACTCACATCTTTAAAAGTTTAGAAAATCAGACTCACACAGAAATAACCCTTTAAAAGAATTTGGTTTCTACTGATGTGCCGGAATTGTACTATTCCAACACATGATCGTCCAACTTTTCAGGCAAAATACTTCAATAAATTCAACTCTGCTCTGCCTATGACTCCGTCTCTATGATTTCCTCAGCACGTCTCTCGGTCACCACCCCCATCTGTGGGAGCAGGGATGGAGAGGGCTTATCCAGCACCTATCTATTTGGCCGAGGCCTCTTTGGCAGCTTGACAAATGCCTGACTCAACCCCCTGCACGCCGACCCCCATCCCCCAACCCCCAACCGCAACCCCGGTCCCTAAGCCCAGTGTCAGGCTTAACTCCAACCTGCTGCTTCGCCAACAACAAACAACTTGAAAAGTTTTAATTAAACACACGATAAGGGGGTGTGGTGGTGGTGGGGGGGAGTGGACAGAGGAGGGTGTTGTAAAGAGGACGGGCCTCTTCACTCCAGGGTCTTCAACAAGGAATATGTACGTGCTCAAAGTAGATGACTGGCTGGTAAAATTCATCATCACTCCATAATGTTTTTTGTGTTTTTTCTTATATATTATCATTTATGATGTGACCCTTCTTTTGTGAGGCTGCAACAATGTGTCAAATGGTCATTGTAAACAAAGAGAGAGTGGCCTACATGAGGGATCCCGCTGACCCTGATCGTAAGGGAGGCCATAAAGAAGACCTTTTTCTTGTGCTGATTGGTTGGTTTCTCTGCAGAATGGAAACAGCCAAATGGAAGGCAGCATCGGAGTTAAATGACTCAAGCTAAAGAACTTTTCAGGTCGGTTTTGTGAGGTAGAATGCAATTATTTGTCCAACAGTGATAGACACGGTATAGATAAGGTAAAAGAAAATAACATGTTCGATATAAGAATAACACGATAGCGTATAGGTGAGCAGTATAGGAGTTTCTCTTATGAAGTTCATATAGTTAGCACATTGTCAGATATGTATGTGGTAAGTTGCATTGTATCATAAGCAATAACAAAAATAAACAAAAAATAAACAAATAAAAAATAAACAAGTAATTTTCTTGCTTACATACACATTAGGAAACCCAGCCTGGATAATGCAGACTACCATATATATTTCCATATTATAAATTTGGGTTTGCATTCCAGTTTGGGTAAGAAAATGGTCAACACAGCCTGAGGATGTATGACCCAACAATTTTGTTTATGATAAATCCTCAACTAGCTGCTGGACAAATAGAAACTGATCAATCAAGGGCACACACAAGCCAAGACTGGAGATCCTCGTGTATATAAACAAAGGTTCTCATTAACAGACAAGCTTATCTTTTGTACAGTACGATATGGCGCAGTGAACGGAGAGATCTACTAGAAGCCTCGTAAGCACCCTGTAAGCAAACATCTGTGATTACAACACACACAATGCAGCTTTGATGAGGATGCTAACACTCCCCCTTTGTGCCTTCACTGTGTGATAATGGAGTGGACCTCACAGCTAGCGCAACTGGGAAGTTGAGTCACACATCCGTGACATCATGAGCGTGTCATATTCTGACTGTAAAAGAGCTGTAAACTATTCAAACTGCTTTCTTATCAAACTAACGTTTTTGTGAGTCATCTAGAGTCTTTTACACTATCTGCTATCAACTATCTGCTGTCACAGACACATGTTCATTGACAGTACACTGTACATTCTTATAAAGGACAACAAATTCAGAGGAGATTTCAAGCATTGTATTGTTTGTTTTTATTAATATTATAATAGAGAGCGTGAAGTGAGGGCCTGCCCAAGTCAAAGACATACATAATTAGTTAAGATTTTAAAAACATATTCAAATGTCGTACATGGGACGTACATGAGGAGTTTGTTACCGGTCTTTCGAAACCTGAGTGGTATCCATCTATGGTAATTCGATGGCCACTGTGTTCATTGTCAACGTGTCTAAAATCTTCTAGATCTACTTAACTCACCTACTTGTGTTTCCTTCTCATTCATCAGGATGCTTCCAGGTTTAAACTCTGGATCCTGGTCCAGTCCGTTCATCCTATGACAGCGATATCTGGGGCCTCTCGATGTGGATTACCAGAGTCCTGTTGCCCAGTGGGCCAATCGACCGCTCAGTGATGGTGTTGAATGCTGAAGTCGCTGACCAGCCTCCTTGCATAGATACGTTTGTTTTTGTTCCATTCATGAATACCTCACCCATAAATTTGTTTGTGGTTCCTTCGAGCAATTGTAGAATCAATAAATCCATGTGTTCACGTAGTGCCATAGTTTCTTTTTTCACACATTATAACCACAAAATACAATTTATTCTACAAGCTAAAATCTATATCTAAGGCCTATACAAAGCTTAAATTCCAAATTATTTCAATCACAATTGCGACATTTAGATTTACTTATGCTGCAAAGACACTTATACTTTTCTTTTAAATATAGTCATTTGATCCATGTCTATGTTGTCTAGATAGCCCGGAAAAGCCAATCCCAGGCACTATCAGTCCTTTTATCACCTTGTCCTTTTGTTTATTTTTGTAACCGCATGGCACTTTTATATTATTTGAACTAGGTTTTTGAGGAAAATATTATCTTGATCTTTTCTGTTGTATACCCTCAACTGGAATCCCATTAAACTGTCCCAAGTCTGGGTATGCTCCATTTTTATACCATTTGGTCATATAAAAAGTCAATCACTGATTTATGTTACAATTCTTGCATGTATTTTTAAAACATCTGTTTTCTTACAATTGCATGTTGCATAGTTTGAGAGACTTTTTTTTTAAACAGCATGGCATGGCCACATTTTAAAAGGCCAGTATAAAACCAAGAACTTATATACTATCTTTTACATTTCATAGGCTACAATACAAATTTATCTTTGGAAGACATCAAAAGAACACTAGAACTGGCCGTTAATCTCTACCAACCTGTTTTGGTTTTCATTTGTATGAAAATCATCTGAGGAGACACTGTTAGGCATTTACAAGCTTATTCTAATTATTTATTTTTTTAAAAACACTGAAACTATGTCCATGTAGTTCCTGTTGGAGTGAATTTTTCAATATGAGCATTCTACAGCTGAAATATAAATTAAATTTGAAAAAAAAGTAATGTTAGTCTTAATCCTTAGAGTTTTATTTTGAATAGTGAATCTTTTAAATGTATTTTTATTTTGAATTTATTTTTGCCTTACTCCAAGAAAAAAAACAGTTTTAAAATCTATTTAATTCCTATTTAATTTAAAAAACATTTTAGTCTTAGTCCTTGGAGTTCAACACTTCAACGTGGGTTTTGAAAATTAGTAACAGAGGAAACTTTTATGCGCACAGTTCATGTATTTCATCTGTGAAAGTTAAGACATTCACTAAAGAATAATTCATTGTATTTTTGGCCCCCTGTCTTCTGATATTCTCAAGTAAAATAAACATTTCCCATCTTCTATAGAGAGAACGTCCATGGATTTCTATAACTTATGTCCCCTTAAAGCTCAGAGAGAAGATTTGTGTTAGGTTTTTATCTCATCCTGACTCCCTTTTGCTCCTCATATGAGTCTTTGTATATGTTTGTGTCTGTCTTTCCCCTGCATAGCTGCCCCCCACTCACAATTCCTTCCCTTTTGATTCTTGCCATCCATTCCAGTCCGACTCTCCAGGACAATGTCATCTCAAAAGACCCCAAATTGCTTTGTGACCCTTAATGTCACCCTAACGTCTTCTTTTTTTCAAATCTGACAACAAAGAATAGCACTAAAGGTCAAATGGGGAGTCATTCGGATTCGATTTAACGATCAGCCCACCAACACTTGGATTCATGTTTACGTGCTTGCAGCTTTGTATTCAGCAAAATAAGTTTATTTTTTCAGTGCAGCTTAAAGCAATTTGCCAAACTTGACACCCAAGTAGGTCTAACCCTTAAACTAAAAACTTGAGGTTGAAAATTTAAAGTAATTATGCTCAAAAAGTCACCTTTACCACATGTACAAATTTTAAAAAATCACTTTGGTTTTTTTAATAATAATTCATTTAAATGAGTTATGATACTGGTGGAAAGTAAATCTAAGTATGTTTTGTATTCCAGGTACTATTATGTGGCTTTTCCAAGCTTTCATTGATTGCCTTTAAGCACAAAAGAAACCAGTCAACTATTCAGAAATAGACATTAACACACCATAAACA